GGACTAAATGTGAAGGTTACTTTAAATCACAATGATTATTTGTATAATTTACTCTAAAATAATTGATGTTACTAGTTTAGGCATTGAGGAAAAGGAAAAAATTAGTAGTTTTTTGTATTTTTAATAAATAATAATAAAAAATTAGAGCAGCTAAAATGATAAAAATAAAAAAGTTCAGTGACCAATGATAACTTAAACAAAGTATAATAACTAAAATAAAACACATAGAAAAGTTCAATGACTAGTTATGACCCTGAAAACGTCATTGGATATTATACATCGGTTATCACCCGTTAAAGTGATTAAAATAAACAAGTTCAATGACCAATAGTAGCTTAAAAAAATATAATAACCAAAATAAAACATTCAGAAAAGTTAAGTAATTAAAAAATAACTTAAACCCTAACTATAAATTGTATATACCAGAAAACATTTGAATAATAATGATGATAATAAAAAGATAATACTAATAATAAATATAAATAATAAAAGTGATATTGTTATGCATGTGAGGTGTGATATGACCGTATATGAAATGTAGAACAAAATAAAGAAGGAAACGAAGCAAAGAATTTGTGATTGAATATTTGTGATTATTACATTGTCAACTACCAACTAGCAAAAGCCACATAAATAAATAACATAAATTGGAAAATTACATAAAGACCCTTTAAGAAACAATCTATTACAATTATATATCCATAGGAAAGCAAAAACTTTTGGGAGTTGACCAAGTTGCAGTCACAAGTGAGGAGTCGTTGACCTTAGTTTGACCATGGAGATGATGATGATCAAGAAAGCATGTAGGAAAACAACTTGTAAACTATGGCAACTATGACTACAAATATGATTTGATCAGTTATGGAGATTGAGTCATGTTTGTCAACCACATCATTTAGGCATGAAGGTGAACACTTGAGTTCAATTGAGAATGCTCCTTTCTCATCTTGAATATCTGGTTCTATATTTATCTCTCCAAATACAGATCTGAACTCTCCATAGCTCCATTCCTAAATTTACTCATTCATTCATCATCAAATTCAGACGTGGTTAGCTCAATGCTCCTTGATTATTTTTTACTTAATGGAATTAATGAGGATAATAACTTAATAAATCTATGGGTTAATCTTTTAATCTGGATAACTATACATGGTTGTTTCTTTTTTTACTTAATCTGGACATAATGACATAATGTCTTTTGCACAAAAATGAAACTAATTTATTAATATTGTGAAATTTGTTTTTAAAGGCAAAATGGTTATTTTATCTCTAAAAGTGACACATACCTTGTATGTATAGCATTGTATCCGGATATAGATTAGATCATTACCCATTTGGCTACTTTATTCATACACAACTTAATGGGGAAAACAGAAACAACCCCTTATCTGGTAAGTTATATATCAATGTTGTGTTAAATGTAATGTAGAATGGGACTGTTTGATAGTTGTGTTGTTTGGAAAAGTTTAAGTTTACTTACCGAGAAAAAAATTATGTTGTTTGATTGAATATCTGACTGACCTGTGCTGAATGATGAAAAATGATCATACGGCCTGAAAATGGTTTTGGAGCTTTCTGGGAAAGACATATTTTACCGGGAAAGATCCATTTTTTGTGCAAATCAAACAGTCTTTGCGGTCCATTCAACCAAAAAGATTTGTTTGGACTTAGAAATATGTCTGTCAAACGGGGCTTTAGTCCTTCCACTTTTTTTTATTTGCTTTATTTATCTTCTTTTTCTCTAAGTATTACTTACACATTATTTATCTAGACAAACACTGTATCCAAACTAGATATAAATGTAGAGCCATTGATATTCTCTTTCAAATGTAGAGTCACATGGACATGTTTAGCTGAGGTGTGACACTAGAAATGACGATCTCGCAATGTGCATGCAACATGAAATATTTTGTTTTTATGCATAAAACTTAAAATGAAAAAATTACCTCCATTTGTTCACCAACGGTGATGACAATGGTGTTAGGGATGGTACGGAATGACACAGGTCCTTCCTCAGATATGAGACGGAATTCGCCTTGCTCAGTTGGGATATGAATGCTCAGAGCAAATGTGGCATTATCCCGTCTATTTCCATCCAATGAGCGTGGAGTTTGAGATGAACGTGGTGTGTGAGGTTGAAGAGACGAGTTATTATGCTTGAATAACACCATTCGAGTTTCATTTTCCTTTATTTTCTTTCGTGGTTGCTTTCCACCATTCGTCCCTATGGCTTGAGCCATATCTTTCGCAATTGCTTCCAGCTTATTCGCAATATTATCCATCTTTGATCTACAAATATATACAACAAGTGTCACAAATCAACTTATTTACACATTAACCCTAAAGTTATGTTCAATATTGAAGCAATAGATCTTTGCAAGAGTCACAAATTTCAATATGGATTAGATTTCTTGTGGGCATTAGGATCTTATGTGTACCTGATTTACATTTACATTCACACGATGTTCTTGATGCAAGAATAACCTTTTTGCATAATTTGAAGATATATGTCGCTAAATACTACATTGTTGATAATCTTTCTAAATGCGCAAGGTCTTTTTATCGCTATAGAATAAATAATGAAGTAAATTACAAAGCCTTATCATTTGTTGATAGATCATAACCATGTATGGATCATCCCCAGATAACCTACATTTGTTTTGAAACATTCTAGAGATAAAATGTCAATGATCTGTAATAAATCAAATGCACAATTCACATATTTATGGAATTGATCTATGGAAAATTTTTGATTTGTTAATAAACGAAAACGAATAACAAAAAATGAAGAAGCTGATAAGGATACGAAGAACAAACCTGAATTTCAGAAAGTTCTCGTCATTCTTAACGTCACGCCGTCGTTCAGCCACCGCCATGGCAGATCGAGACCAAGCAAACTCCTCCCGATCTCCATCGCGGCTCCACCTCTCCGCAAGCAATCCAAAGATGAAATCCGCCTCCGTGAACGCCGCATTCAGCTCCTCAGGCGAAATCCCATGGCCACTGACACGAAACATCCCAAACTTAGCGGCGGACTCCATCATCTGCTGGATCGAATTCTTATCCTTAGCTTTGATCAGCTTGTATTCAACCTCTGCAATAGGCGGTCGATTGGAGTCATCAGTCGTATCAAATTCGGGAATGTTCTTCAATTTGTCGACGTAATTGTTGAAAGAAGGGTCGTTGCGAGTAGGCCTGGAATTGGGCATCGGAGATGGAGGTTGCGCCGGTCCCCCTGTGGAGAGGCGACTCCTAATCCGGGCGATTGCCATTATTGGGAGATTGTTATGGGAAATTCTGAGATCAAATGGGAGAGAAATGAGAAGAAGATGTGAAATATAGTTATTGCATGGAGCGTTTTGTGCGATGTCGGGGTGGTTGGCACGTCTCCATGCATGGATTACTTGTACCATCGTATGCATGGCGTACTTGTACTTGATAAACGAACATCTGGACCGGGTTTACCGGATGTTCCTACGTTTTTTTATTTAGAAATATATATATTTAGGGTAAATGCTAGATCGCATTAAGAAAAGGTTAATCCTATACATTCTCTATAAAATAGATATATCGAAAGATAATTTCATTTATCAAAATGCATTTTATAAAATAGTTAACAAAATATTACAGAAAAACCCTTAAGTTTGTCAAATTTTGACGAGTTTACTTTAACATCATATTTAGAAAGCAAAAGTCTATGCACATCAATTTCACGTATTTGATTGGAGTTGCAAAGCTTGGATATTTGGAAGTAATCTTCACGCAAATTGGGGTTTAAGAGGAAATAAAGTGTTACAATTGTGGTATACTTTCACGATTCAGAGCAAAAGTTGGGTAATTGAAACTTGAAAGTGTTGGGTGAAGATATACATGCATAATGTACGTTCTTTTGTGATGTAATTTTTTTTTTTGATTTTTTTTTTTTTTTTTGATTTTTTTTTTTTTTATGTTCAACATGTTAAGTTGGTGTAATAGTAAAACATGATGGCAACAATCATCCACATTTCGGTTTTTGGGTTGGATGACATTATACCTCTAATGATTTTCATTTTTGCTGTAAAATTTCACATTTCCTAGTGGTCAGAGTTTTTGGAATTCGTATTGAATAGTTTAATATTGATTTTGTTTTAAAGCACGACATGGGTGTAAGAAACACAAAAACAATATTTATTTTGTTCATTTATAATTATGAAAAATAACAATAGTTGCATATAAAGAAACAAAAAAATGGTATGAAAAGCACAAAATATCGATCTAGAACCTAGGAGTAAAAATGGAGTTTAACAATCACTTTAGAACACCATATAAGCATCAACATCACTAACGACCAATGATAAATGGTGTACGTAACACAAAATATTATTATTAAAAACGTTAATAGTAAATGAAAATATTTTGATGACCACTATAAAAAATGGAGAAAATGACTTATTTTTTAAAATTTTAAACCTAACATGTATTTTTATTAACCTATATGAAGTCACAAACGTAAAATCTGACCAACGGTATTTAACCATCAACATGGGACAAAAACAATTATAACATCTCAAAGACTCAAACAAACAAACAAAAAAAAACTTATCAATCATCACATCCTTACTACAGCATTTGTAAAAATAATATGCAACTAAAAATAATTTATAATTTACAAGTCAATTCCAAAAAAAAAAACAAAAAAAACAAAACAATCATCTTCCCAAATATACCAAAATTCTTGTAAGATCACTATTGGCAACACAATACAATGTCACATTCAACTAAAAAGGGTAAAACACTACCCCTAAACATCCCCCAAACCGGTCCTACAACCAACATTTAAATTTAAAAATAAATCACAATGTCCCCAAAAGCAAAAGCAAGAACTGTGACGTCACACCTAGCCTTTAACCTAAGACTTCACTTATAGATTCTCACCTCCTTTTTTAACATATGGGGACACTTACACAACACATTTTATGTTACCTACAAAAATTTGAGGTGTTCACCAAAAAAAAAAAAAAAAATTATAACATTCTATGCATATATATATTACATGCACAACAAGCAACCTCCCCCATCCCCCAAAAAAAAAAACAAAACAAAAATCCAGCTGTCAAAAACCGAAGCATCTTCCGGTTATATTTCGGTTAGGAAAGAGGCGGGAAATCTTCTTCGTCTTTTAGATGATACGAGGATTGTACATTAAACCTAAAATGATTCCAAATAAAAATATAAAAACGCATGAAAGATTTAGATTTAGATTAAATGAAACGTTTTTATGTAACGTTTTTTTGTTTTTGTTTGAGAAATGATGATACATTTCCTATATACCTATCCATACCAGAAACGGGTCTGGGCCTCGGGGATCCGTTTCGGTTCGGGTTCTGGTGTCGCCTTCTGTGTGACAAAGGCTCTCTTGGTTGTTGCATAGGGCGGCTAACCGATTCGGCTGGGGTGGTGAAATCGGTGGGCCCCGTTTTTGTGTTTGTTGCATTTGATGTTGAAGTGTGGTATCCATGTCGAGATCGATTATTCTGAAAAGTTTAAATGTAGTTTAAAATAAGGGAAATCTCATATAAAGTCTCAATATTTTGGGTCAGTTTATGGTTTAATCCCAACTTTTATTTTTTTTAACAAAAAAGCCCCGATTATTTTTACTTTTCCCAAATTAACGAAACAGTCCTTATTTTTTTTTTTTCAACATAAAATGACAGATTGTCATATAAAATTAGATAATCGGAACTTTTCTGTTCAAAAACTAAATGTTGGGATTAAAATATAAACCGACTTTATCTGAGATTTCCCTAAAGATAAAGGTTAAATGCATGAAATAGGAATGTATTAATGTAGTTTTATTGATTTGTTTTTCTTATCGTTATAATGGTTGAGGCACTATTTGTTATTGATCTTTGATTCTCTTCTATGTGCAAAAAGACATAAATGCCCTCAACCCTCATCCTAAACAGCCCTAGAAAGCTTGTCTTGTCCAATGTAACGAAGTTACACCTTTTTTACCAATTTATAAAATAATAATAATAATAATAATAATAATAATAATAATAATAATTATTTACCGAATCGGGAAAGTACGAAATTGCCCCTCTTCGGTCATTTGGAACAAAAGGCAGCGGTGGTGGTGGTGGGTGGTGGAACCGTGGATGGCGGACAACACCATTCATGCCGCCATGTTCAGATGCAATCATACTCAATAAAATAGGCGGCGGTGGCGGTGGTGGCCCCATCATGGGCGGCAGTGGACCCAAAACATAAGTATTCCACCACCGGACATGATCTAAACACACCAAATGAGACATCAAATCTCCGGTGAGATCCAACGGTTCAGATTGACCCAAATTTAGACCTTCTTCAATCTCCTTTGATTCATTTTCTTCAACAATTTCGTCTTTTTCTGTCTTATTAACCAACTTTGAGTAATTAAATAAAAGATGTGGGGCATAAAATGGTATAGCAACTTCTCCTTCATTCGCAGGGGCAGAAACGTCTTTTTCCTCGTTGGAAATCGGGTTCCCTGGAGACCCGTTTTCATCGTTAGAGGTTCTTGTTGTTTGAGCTATGGGAAATGACTTTTCTGCCCTTGGAATATTATCGGGAAGATCGGGTCTTTGACCACTTCCATGCATGTTTAATGTATTTGAGAAGAAAGAAAGAAGCTCATTGGAGAGTTTATCTTCAGGAGCCATGAGGATTTGTTCGAGTTTTCTTGCCCCATAATTAAACGCACTTCGGATACGAAAAAAATTTCCTGAAAAAATAAATAGTTGATTTTTCAAAGATATAGAAAAATGTAATTTGATTGATTTGTTTTAAAAGATGTAAAATGCCCTTCAGAGCCCTCATCATCAAAAATAGCCAGAGAAAGAAGAAAGTGAGAATTAAAGCATTACCTTGGCTAACACTACGCCCGAGGTTATTATGGTCATTTAACGGGTCAACAATATTAAGATGCTTTTTGTAAAATAAATCACCAGGTCTCATGGGAACTGAAAACTTCTCACAACAATGCCTAAGGAAACCAACTTCAAGCAAAAGATCATTGCTATTTGGTGGTCTCTCAACTGCAAATTCAAAATAAAAAAAAAGATATAATACACACATAAATGGAAGTATGTTTGAATTTAGAAAAGACAATGGTAATATTATTTAAGCTCACCTACGATTCTTGGCAACTCTGATAATCTAATGGGGCCCATTAAACTGATACCATATTTATCCCAATCGAACGTACTGAAATACTCCAAGAATTTATATAAAACCTGTTGTATTTAAGCAACATGATAATTTGATTTCAAGGGCGATTATGGTATTTTGAAAAGGAATTTTATTTGAAAACTTACGGAGAGGGGGCCGTCTAATGATGTATGAAAGACATGAAAGATATAAAGAACTAAAGTCTCTAATCCGTATGTTGATATTAAACCAACATGTGCACCAAGTGTGCGGCTCTCGAAATAGCACCATGCTTTTATTAAAATTATGCTTCTTTTGAAAAGATGGTCTTTCTTGATTACGCGGTCCACCTGCACAATCATAATAATGCTTAACAGACAGTGACAGTGACAATGACGATTGTCACTGACAGACACCGTTGACAGTGACAGTGACCCTGACAGACAGTGACAGTGACAATGACGGTGACGATTGTTTTTTTTATCTAAAACCGGAACGAAATAAAATTAATTAGGTTTCCATCGTCCGAAAAAACATGGTTTTGCAGGGTTTTTTTTTTTTTTTTTTTTTTGTTTTTTGGTTCAACGAAATTGGTTTTTAGTTGTATAAAACAATAAAAAGTGACAAAAGAACATAGTTGTTGAATTTTATAATATATGATAGGATAAAACATTATGAAAAATTAAGGTTGGTTACATAAAAGACACTATATATTGGATTTTATCAGATCTAACCTCAATTTTAATTTATTTTCTAAAAAAGGGCTTACATTTTTCCATTTTTTCAGATTAAACATTAACTTTTTTTTGGGAGGAATTGTCAGAAAAGTCCCAATATTTTCGGAAAAGTTTCACTTTTGTCCCCAAAAAAAAAAATTGAATAGAAAAGTCTTGGTTATTTGATTTTACACGATAATATGCAATTTCCTATTGAAAGAAGAAAAAGGGCTTTTTTGTTAATTTGAGCCAAAATGAAATAATTAGGACTTTTATGTTCAAAAAAAAAAATTGGGACTAAAGTGAAACTTTTCCGAAAATATTAGGACTTTTCTGACAATTTCCCTTTTTTTTTCAAAAATATCCATTACATCTTTGTTTAAAACCGGAAGATTACTGGTAAAACTGCTAAAAGGAACAAATAGAAAAATTGAATATGTAAGGACTTTTTTACAAAAAATAAAATAAAGTTGAGGTTTAATCCGGAAAAAAATGAATATACAGGGTGTTTTATGTAATTAAACCAAAAAATTATATTTAACAACACAACTAATTCGAGTTCAATGAAAACAACAAATAGCTTATATAAGTAATCAAGTAAGAAACTTATATACGTTATAAAGTAACACTGTATTAATATACAGATGTGTTTGATTTTATAACAGAGAATCAAACAACAAATTTCAGTTTTTTAAACAAAAACCCAAACTGTCGTTTTTTTTTTTTTTTTGATTTTTTGTAGATCAAGAAAAATTGAAATTTGTTCCCACCCAAAAAAGTGGGACAGAGACTCTCTCTCTTGTCTGTGCAAAAGACGAAAATACCCTTTACATCCTCATCAACCAAAATAGCATTAGAAAGCATGTCAGAGTCTAATTTTGTCTCTTGTAAGAATCAAATCCTAAGGGAACTTCTTAACATTATTTTATCATTTTTGTAAGAAACAAGAGAAGATAAATAAAAAATAAAAATAAAGTAAATGGCATAATGTAGAGTTCATAAAAGTGTCACATACCTGTTCAAGAAAACATAAAGTGCAAAGTCCACCGATTTGGTTGACTGAAATGTCAACCACAAGATTTTGCACCATGCATTTCACCAACTTAACCTACAATAAAAAATTTCATTTTTTCCAAAAGCACAAATCAATCAATAGCAACTTTAAAAAAAAAAATTAAATCTTTTATTTCAAAATTCAAACTTTAACAGAAGTCATTGTACTGTATTTGGTATGCATTAGACTTGAACTGTAATTTTTGTCCCATTGACATCAGTCTGAAATGTACTATAAATAATAACATAATGGCAAAAAAAATATAAAAAAAAAATACCTCAGCCCCAATAAGTTGAACATCTTTAACAACAAACTCTGCTGAATTGTTTTTCCCTTCTCTATCAAGTAATGATGCAATTTCATTTATGAGATCATGTGTGTTTACACCAACTGCACTTAAATCAATATCTCCATCTGGAAGATAGGTTTTCAAAGGAACTGATCCATAAGCAAACACCTGAAGAAAATTTATAAAAAAAACACTTGAATGAATAAAGATCATAGATTGATAAATGCATGCAAGAAATGAACAATGTACTTTCATTTCTTTGTTTATTATAGCCTTTCACTTCCATTTCTATCTATTTCAATATTGTATAACGGATTGCACTTAAAAAAAGATTCCCAATTATAGCATTGCACTTTCAAAAAGAAATTCTTTCTTCTGAAAAATATAATCAATTATAGAGGTGAGAATTGCTTTGTATTTGGATGACATACAATCGGGCAGATTTTTCAAGGTGCAATGCTGTAAATTGTAATAGAAAGAAAGGAAAGTAGAATGTTTTAATAAACAAATAAATGAAAGTATGTTTTCTTTTTCTTTTTTTGTATTTAACCCTAAGATACGCAACAAAATCGATAGAAACAAATCAAGGATCTTGCTATGCTACATGATTGGAAACTTACTAGGGTTACCGAAATGTTGGTGAAATTATGCTTTAAACCATTTTAATTTTCAAAAATACCAACAAAAATAGCAAAAATAGGAGAACAATTATGTTCTGATTAAAATGTTACTTAAAAAGGTGTAACCTTTAGCAAATTGTTGGAAACGGTTTACGTGTTCGGTTGGTTGACGATTTTGTTAGTTTTTATAATATCCAAATCAAGATACAAATTAGTCAAATTACTACGAAAAACAGACATACAAAAGCTCATATAGAAACTAACTTATTAAACTCTCAATTTTACAAAAAAGCAACCATTTTTTTAGTGTATCCCAACGCGATATGATAGAATAACATGGATCGATAACGAATACTAATCATATACTTATGGAAACTTCATCATATACTTAATATGAAGTATGAAACCCTAGGCTTCTTGCAAAATCTTGCTTATTAACCATAACTTTTTGTTCATCCTTTACTTTTTAGTAATTTAACTGCAAATGTTAAAAGTATGCCTAAAACATGAGAGACAATTTTACTTTTACATGCCTTTCAGAAAGGATAAATCATCTTGAATTCATGATTCATTGATTCTAGACCTGAATCAATATAAAAGGCTACAAGTCTAAACAACTTTATAAGCCTCAATCCCTTTCATCCCTCTAAATTATCATAAGAGTAAGAAATGAAACAGATTTCGAATGACTTTTCCCATATAGTGGCTATGGTAATAACAATTTTTTATCAGTGAATATGCTAACAAGCTTACGAAAATGATAATGATGATTGATTGTAATGGTATTTATAAAAAATAAAAACTTGAAAATCAACAGATTGAACACATGGATGGTGTCGAAATCACCTCACAATCAAGATTTTCCTTGAGCAACCGCTGCAAATAATTGATTACTGCATCTCTTTTCCCTTCAGCAACAATAGTTGGCTGAAACTTCGAAATTATCCCCTCCGCAGCTTTCTCAGCTTGGTTCCACCGATGAATCCCGATGAACCAAGGGTTTGATTGAGGCGCTGGTTCCCATGGCTCCTCGGCGATCAAACCCGAAGGAACCACCAGGTCTTGTTGGACTCCCATTGATAAACTAGAACAAAAAAAATATACAAAACCCAGATTTTGTTTGAGAAATTTCCTATAAATCCATCTGGGTTTCTCCAAATTGGTGAAATTCGATGAACCGAACAGAGGAGATTTGGAGTAATTTGGAGTGGGCGATGACCTTTTTTACTCAAAATTTTGTGGGGATTTTGGGAATCTTCGGTCCTTCGACTGCTGAGTAAGCTTTAGCGTTCAAGTACTCAAAAATTGAAGCGTTCGTCGACTGATTCAAGAGGATTTTTGACAATCTTAGCTGCTGCGGCTGGTCGAACTGCCAATTGATTTTTTCTCCTGTCAAACCGTCGCTTGAATTATAATTTTTTTTTTTTTTTTTGTTAGGGCTAAATATTGATATAACTACTTTTCCTAAAATGGATAACCTAATAAATGATTAATTTGAAAACATTTATTAAATTGGCCTTTTGTAAATAAACTATCTAACAAAAAATAATTATATTTTTCTCAAATTGTCATTTTGTTCATAATGTTAGCATTCAAGACTAACTATGATCGTTCTAGAAGGAATGTGAATTGACATAAAAGTATTTGAGAATCTAAAAATACGACAATCAACAATGAGCTAGATTCTAAAATGACATTGTATATTTTAGACTGAATAAAGGCATTCCGGAATGTAAGAAATTATGGAGTAACATTTTGGACCTAAGAAAAAAGGTCTAGATGCGCTTAGTTTTGGCTATTTGTTTACTTCTTTATGCCTTTTGAATTTGTTTAGAGTTCCAAATTTACATTTGTATTATTCCGAATGAGTTCATATAATAAGTATGTTAGAATATAGGTTTGTAGTTCTGAACAATAGGAGCAATCAGACAGCTATATGCATTATATTACTTCAGATTACACATGTTTTTCTTAGTCTTTTATTGTCCAGATCAAACGTAGTTATGCAGATAATGACGTTCTATATTTTGTATTTATTTTAACTACTAACTAGCATACCACTTAACCCATTATATTTTTTATTGATCATTATGCGGAAAGTGGTATGAATCATTTCATAACGGAAAACTATTTTTATGCCAATGAATCGCATGATGTCATTAATAACCAAGTATATAATTTATTACATATGACGTTGACTCGTCTAATTATGTAGAAGGGTGTGATGTTACGTATAAATGTAAGGAAGTTACTCATGATGGTCGTGTTTTTTATGCTAATGAATGATGAATCAGGATACAATCAGTCATAATTAATTAGTGGTTGATGATGCAAACATACTTGCACATGGAAAACCGGTAAAAGTGCTCGATTGTTTATCAAGTTATGATGATATTGAATATGACGTTAAAGAAATTGAGCCTGGATGACCCCATAACGTTAATTCTCCATTTTACCATAACGAAAACATAAAATTTTATCAGCCCCCCCTGCGCGCCCAATCATATGTCTAAGTATAGTTGTACAAAGGATTATTGTCATTGTAGTCCAACCAACTTAGAACTTTTGTTTTAAAAGGTCTCTTTTGTTTTTTAGCTTTATTATGGTATGAAATCATGTTTTTAAGGTCTAAAAAGTTCTTATGAAAAAGTTGAAGGGGTGACCCGGTGAACCCTTTCCTACTCAACAGGTTTTATAACCACGACAATTAATAAGATGTCACCTCAATTGTCATGTAATGTTACAATAATTGACTTAATTTAATGCTTCATTTAGAAGTCGAATAAGAAACATATATCAATATCGCTTTCGCTTTCTTCCTTTTTCTTATACTATTTCTCTGCAAAATCGATCAACTGGATTCTTGCTATGGTCGTTTACATGAAGATTGATCTTCATTTTCAACGTGTTTTTACGAGGTACCTTGTTATCAGTTACTCAGATGGAGTAAAGAACATATTTGAGGATGTGGATTTTGTTGGAATAGACAAGAATGAATTTGTGGTTTTCTTTAAAAGATTCATGCACGATAAATGTAAGAAGGTGTATTATTGCATGTTAGACATTTAACTTCCTAAAGAATTAAGAATGATAGCTACTAACATCGACTATATGGATTTCATCGAAATAGGGTATGTTAGTGGTTGTATACTTCATGTTTACATTGATCATCTTTATGTGAATATACAGGATTGGCTTAATGATGAGAAAGTTGAAGTACTCAGTCCTGAAGACAAGCATTCATGAAGATTCGCAAGGTGATATGGATGTTGACATTCACCTAGATGATTTCCACAATGATATGGACATTGACATTAAACTTGATGATTACATTCCTATGAACAAGACCAGCAATGATGTTTTTTTGAGGAAGCTCGACCTCAAGATGAATCCAAGCCCAGACAGTCCACCTCATGAGGAGCCATATGTTTAGATGGATGATAATAAGGCAATAGTTGCTAATGGTTACTAGTTATGCTACAATAAAATGATAGTATGAGACTTTTAGTTAAATTTTGTTCTAACTAGTGCATGTTTAGATTGTAGACTTTATGGATAAGTGAAGAACACTCTTTTCGGATTAAGTCTTTCATAGATGAACATAATTGTCAAAAAAATTCAAATTTGGATTAATTGTCGTTATGCTTGGATTGGCAGCCATTATACTACACAATCCTTACACAAACAAAAATTAAGTGTTAGGCTACTTAGGGAAAAGGTTAAAAAGAAATTTGGTATTAAAGTGAGTATGGACATCCAGTATACTACAATCCTTGGAGTTACAAAAATTAAGTGTTAGGCTACATAGGAAAGAGGGTTAAAATTTTTTTTGGTATTGAAGCGAGTATGAGACAGTATATGAGAGTAAAGAAATATAATCACACCCCCAAACCAGGATGGCGGAAACATCCTGGGCCGGGTGACTATCATGTAGTGTATCATAACAGTTGAGTATAAATGTTCAAAGCAAACACAACCAACATATATATAATTGAAAAGGTTACATCATTTGTGTGTATTACATGTTTCAAAATATCAATTACAACATTTTGTCAAAAGATTTGTTTAGACGCCTAAGCGTCCCATCCTCAAAGCCAATTGTTACCTGATTTACTGATTTCCTAAGAATACAAGTTATTTGAAAAGAGAGTATCAACATTTAAGTTGGTGAGCTCATCAGCATTTGTATGTATATTTGTAAACCTTTTCTATGAAATATAGTAATGTTTGTTCTCCGGAAAATCCTATATTTTCCCTAAAATGAGATGTGGCCTTAAATGAACCAAGACCGAAGCATATAAGTAATTTTCCTACTTAAAATGACGTCATGCAGTTTTGTTTGTATATAAAATTGTTTGAAGACTTTCTTTGCGTAAACTAAAATTGTCGTCGTTGTTTTATGTGAGTTTTCAATTTTATCTTATAACCATGCTTGATTGACCCAGATTGCCTTGTTCACAACGTTCTTCAGGTTTCGATTTCGTTATGACATTTGTCACCCCCAGACCTGTCGGTCCAGCTGTTGCGAGCAGCTAAGGTGCGGGATTGTCAGTCCCAGTATAGATCTATACACAACTATCACACTCTCCCTACAAGAGACTCTGGTTATATTTAACAGGACTTTTGTGTGTACTTTATAAGGTACCGTGAAGACAAAACTCACTAAATATGTTCAATGAGTTTACATGTTTTTGTGTTGTAAATGTTTGTATCAATGATCATCCCCTAAGACTGGGATAGCTATGATAAACAATGTGAAATCCTTAGATATGCATTTGATAATATTTTACCCTTTTTCTCAACGGGATACAAATGGGGTAAAGTTTCGTAAACTATACTTGTATATTTTTGATGCAGAAGACAAGTTTGTAAATGAAACATACATATGCAAATGGTTATATATAAATATATATATATATATATATATATATATATATATATATATATATATATATATATATATACATATATATAGATATATATATATATATATATATATATATATATATATATAAATTTTAAAAGATAATTTGGTATGTTTCGTAATTGTTGTTCATATTCTTATGTTTTTATTAGAAACTTTGCATGAAATAATCCTTAAGTTTGATGGTAAAGACCTTTTTGTACTTATCACTTTTGTTAAAATTGTAATTAAACATATTTAAATGATTGTGTTTTAACTTCCTTAATGTATAAACCTTGCTCAAAAATGTTAGAAGGTGTTAATAAATCTATAAACCACTTTTGATAGTTTTACCCTTTATTGTCCCTGTTTTTAGAAAACCTATAGAAAAATCATCGTAAGTCAAAAACTGAATCTGTCACCTCTACTAGTTTAGAAAAAGAGTCTACTTTGTATCTAATTTTTATTATGTTTTTTAGTGGTCTAAAACTAGTGTGAAAATGGCCATCTTTACAGACCGGTCCGAAATCACTTCTGAAAGGACAAGCAGTTTTATAAAAATCGCCATAAATTGTAGAAAAATCGTATGATCCCGTGCGAGTAGTCCTTAGAAAGGTATAAACCTGAAATATTTGAATATTGTATAGTTTTGAAATATATTAAGTTTAAGATGGTCAAAACAGTATGTAAACAGGACTCAACTTTTTTTTGTAGAAAGTTGTCTTTTAAATTTAAGTTATGTTTAGTGTTCTAACTTGTATTCTCCCCCCCTCCCCCCCCCCCCCCTTAAAACTTGAAGAAAACATGAAAATGTAGGGGTAGGAACTCACCTTATGTGAATACTTGAAGAATGGAAGGTTTGAAGATGAAGAGCTTTTGGGTGACAGTTTGATGCTCCAAAACAGCCATTGTTTAGGCGTCATATGAGGGTACAATGAATAGGAAATTTTGTGGATATGAAGGAGGAAAGGGTGGAAGAGGATAAGGTGACAAAACCTAGACTAGCTTGTGATGGATGGGAAGTTATGTGATGTGATCTTGCCTAACCACTTGCTTGGTTGGTTCTTAGAGATAGGGTTATTTAACTAACTAACTAACTAACTACGAGTTATTTACTTTTTTAGGAGTTCTAGTTAAAGAGAAGGAAGGTCTTAATCTCGAAAATTAGAACAGGGATTAAGAAGCATTCTTAGTAAAATGTCTTAAGTGATTAAGCACTTATTAGTTAAGTTGACACTTATCTTCACCAATTCTCTTATCTTAATTGATTTAGACATCATATTTCTTACATGAAATCACTTTATGTCATGATCCATAACTAGTCATTCACTAGATAATAATACATATGTACAAATACATACATGTATACTTAGTATAAAATAACAATGTAGTTTTTTTTTTTTGTGTATTTGAACTTTAATGTTTATGTTTTATTCTTTTTATTCAAAAACACTTAAATACATTCTAATTATTCCTTATAATAATTCATTCTATATTTTTATTTATTTAAATATAGATCCTTCACAACTATAAAGCACACGTTTTACATATCGTTAAACACGTT